CATTTTTAGTACCAGATACACTCTCAACCGTGTAATCCTATAGCCGAATCCGTATTAACCATCGGGCGATGGTCGGGTCCGTCAGACTAAAGTCCTTTTGGGGTCTACTCTCAAGATGAACCGTCGCCCATAGATATAGTGTCTGAACGTGTCTAGACACCGGAGAACAGCTAACACTTCCTTCTTGAATTGACTGTAGTTACGCTCAGCCGTATTAAGTGTCCTACTCTCAAATCTTAACGGTCTTTCCTTCCCTCCAGCGTCCTCCTGAGACAGCAAACCACCCACTGAACATGGTCCAGCATCCGTGGATACTATGAAAGGTCTTTTGGTCTCATCGTCAAAGAATGGCACGCCCAACACACGTCCTCCCTCCTTAAATTCGTCTTTAAGTTCTTGCATTGCGAGTTCCTGCGAAAAATCCTAGTAGAATTTTTCAATCTTTCGAAGGAGTAACCTCAATGGCTCAGCCTTCTCCGCATACCCCCGTATGAATATACGCCAGTAACCGACCACTCCTAGAAACTGTCGGACCTCGGTTGGGCTATGTAACGGTGAGGGCCAGTTCAGAAGTTTGTCTAACTTCGCTGGATCCGCTCGACGTCCTCTCGAGTCACAGATAAAACCCAAGATCTTAATAGTCGAGACGGCCCATCGGCTCTTGGTTCCGCTGACTGTTAAATTCGCATCATCCAGCTGCTCCAGTACCGCGCAAATATTTGTTAGGTGCTGCTCGACGAATCTTCTAACTCCAGGTACAACCTCTGTCTCATCCCTGTCTACTGGCCCTTTTATAGGAAAGTCATCCAGAAAAACTTCAACCTTATCAGGGATGAAGTCCTTGAGGACGGCTACCATGGTTCACTGAATAGATCGACCATGGGTCAAGCGGTACACCCATAGGGACAACCATCATTTGAATTAGTCCCAATGGCGTATGCATAGCCGTGAGGTGTCTGTCCCTAGGGTCAAGCGGTACCTCATCATAGCCTGAGAACAGATCATAGACCGAATAGATCGACCTACCTGCTGCGCCTTCTGCCAGTAAATCGGCGTGTGGCACGGAGCCCACGTCTCGTATCGTCACCACGTTAACCTTCTGAAGGTCCTGGATCCATCGGATCTTGCCATTCGGCTTTCGTAGGAAGAACCATCGATTTGCATAAGCGCTATCAGACGGCTCCGCAACGTGGGAAACCATCTTCTCTTTCAGGAAAACGATAACTTTTTCCTTCTCCTTCTGGGCGTATTTCCATCCCCCGTCGTTCCAGGGAACATGTGGTATCGTGTAAATCCTTGTTGGCTTACCGTATCGAGGGTCAATCCTACCGCGCTCCGCGTCGCTCAAAGCTATTGCCTTATCACATGTCTTCAGAATTTCTATCACACGTCCTCACTCCTGTGGGGTCAGATTTCCATCTCCGATGTCCATCCCTGCTATTCTCTCTTCCGTTAGGCGTTG